ATCTATTTCTATTTGGTTATGGTGCATGCATGTTATTTCACATGTCCTGTTTCTCACTTGGCTAACTGAGTGGGTGATAGATGGGATCCTTCAGTGAGATAGAAAAAGCACACAAAAGAAGACATTTGTAGAGGGTGACAACTTTCAAATTTGCTTTTGGCATCTTGTAGTTCAGGTGTTTATGTTACATCTAACTAGAGATGTCCAGTAAGTCCAGAATTCAAGAAAAATCTGAATATTGGGGGGAGATTAGGAGTTATTATCATAAAAAATGGCATGGGAAGTCGAGACCCCGGGTAAGATCATCCAGAGAGAGTGTGTACAGTGCAAAAAAATTATTCCTTTTTTCATTCTTTTATCCATCCATCAAACTGTCATTGAGTGTTACTAGAACCAAAGTAAAAAGCGACAAAATGTTTTCCAAGAGTTCACAATAATTTCTTGACGGCCAAATCCAATGACGTATTTGCAATCCCAAATGTGTTTAACTTCTGTACAGTATTTACTCGGTTGGTTACTCCTTCACTGAAAAGTCCTCTTCTGGTGATATCTGGATCACTATTCTCCTCACTTCCCCCCTTTCAGACTGTCCCTTTTCAGTGGCTTAATGAGACTTAGAATTTGATATTCACAAGAATCCGTCTTTGGTCCTTAAATCCTCATCTCTAACTCCAATTTTCCCACAGTTAGGCTTCAGATCAAACTGACTAAATAAAGTTTAACAGCTAGTTTAAAACTGAAAATTGTGTTGGTAGCACAGCATGGGCAATACTCTCGGGCTGGGAGACAGATTGACCTAGCTTGTGAGGATCATAATTGTTTTAATCTCTCTGGTGCCTACTTTCTCATGTCCCGAAAGTTGCAACAAAAATATTTGAGTTGCAAGGCTGCTGTTGATTAATTTATCAACGTAAAGCACTAGTGTCCTGTATGTCCAGCACTAGTGATCTATAACTTGAGATGAACAGGGCAAATTATGCCACATTATAAATGCCTTATCAACCTAATCCGTGTAGTTTGTAACACCAAAATATTAACTTCTGTTAGCGATCACTTAGCCTCCATAGTGTTACTCAGGTTACATGAGCTGACTGGCTGTTCTAGAATCGCACGCAGTGTCAGGGACTAGCTCAAAGTAACAGAAGCAACTACTTCCTTGCATACACATTGAGGAAAACACAATTTGCAAGGCTTCTTAAAGAAACAGCTCCGCTTAATTTAGGAGCGAAACTGAAAGTGAAACAAGTCCAACATATCCCGCCCGTATGCAGGCAGCTCAGAGAAGAGAAAGTGAGGACATGACATAGTTCACGCAGAAGAGACGAAAGCCCAGATTTTATCTTTCCCGCTTGTTCTTAAAGGACCAACCGCACTGACTTTCCGTCATGCTCCGCGCCACTTCCGTTAGCGCACTTTAATTACGTCAGTGCGTCAGCTCTCGCGGTATCATCAGGTTGCAGAGGCCCTTGAACAAAGGTCTCGCGAAATTTCTTCCACAGGTCCAGGCTAGCCTCTCACCCTACTCCACCCCACCCCCAACCTATCCTTCCTTTCTCTTTAAGTCACAAAATTCTCCCCTCCCCTTCTTCGAGCTTACGGCCCTCCTCCTGTTTCCGATTTCAGACCGGAACCGGAAGTGTGGTGGGCGGGGCCGGCAGCGGAAAACGCTGCGGGGCCAGAGCCGGGACACGGCTGTGGCCGCTGCTCTTACCCGCGCCACGGATCGCCTGGTGGCAGGACTGCGCGGCTCCAGGCTGAAGGTCGGTCCGGAGGCGGGTGGGCCTGGGTCTCACCCGGATTGTCCGGGCGGCACCGTCCCGGGGCCTCCCGGGAGCCGCGAGGGATCATGTCTACAGCCTCCGCCGCCTCGTCCTCCTCCTCGTCTTCGGCCGGTGAGATGATCGAAGCCCCTTCCCAGGTCCTCAACTTTGAAGAGATCGACTACAAGGAGATCGAGGTGGAAGAGGTGAGCGAGGCCTGGCAAGGAGACGCCTATCCCGGCCCTTCCTCGCCTCTGCCTGGTCCCGGCTCTGAAGGCGCCTCTCCGGCCCCTCTAATTCACAGGGCTCTGCGCCCCAGGATCCACTCGGGAGGTCCCCACAGCCCCTCAGAGATGGGGTCTCGGGGGGACTGTGCACTCAACTGTTCCGTGGTAGCTGTCTTTTTTCCTCACTTCGGCACTCTTGAGTTTGAATTTGATACTCTGGTGCCTGGATTTGAGTGATCTCAAACGAGAATGAACTGGTGAGATCGTGTGGTCCATCAGTTCTCATATTTGTAAGTAGTAAATTCAGTAAAGACCGTAGCCGTTTTGGAGTTTCAATTCCCTAGACGTGGTGTTCTTACGGGCCAAGGATTGTATTATGTTCCACTTCTAGCTCGGTGCCTGGCACGTAGGGGATGCTAATAAATGGTTGTTAAATTAGCAGATCATGGAGTCTAATGAAGTGTTTCCCCTAGTGCTGAATGCTTCTCAGTTTCTCTGGTACCATAGAACAGTGCTCATAATATTTAAATGTTCTGCCTTCAATTAGGCTGATTAGATGAATTTCACCATTACTAATACAGACTGATCTGCGATGGAAAGATGTTTCAAGTAGCATATTCTGAAGAGAGATAACGATTTCAGTGACAATCAGAATATAACATCATACTAGAAATCACTGTTAGAAAACCCGAATCCATTCTTTATTCTGCAATAATTTATATTAGAGCAAGATATTTCAAGGTGCCTTTAATACATTGCTTCTTTTCAAATTCACAGAGGTATAGATTGGTTCTAAGGACTGTAAAATTTAGAAAAGTAAAAACTGTTTCTGTTTTAAAGACATTTTAGAACTCGTTAAAACTTTGGTTGAAAATAGTATCTACCAGTTACCAATTAGTTATAATTTTTAGAATTAAATACTTTGCACTACATGTAGCATAAAGAACCCTGTATGTCCTAGTGAAATATTACAGACTCTCAAAGAATTGTGTCTACTTTGAATATCTAAAATTACTTTTAGGTAGCAGCAAATTAAAAGTAGTGAGATAATTAACATTCAATGAATAAATTTTTCTTCCCATGCATGCTTTGGAAGAATAATGCATTACTGAATCATGTATTTTTTAATCACATAAAGTAACTTTAGAGAACATTGAGAACATCATTTTACAAGGTAGTATAGTGGGAAGAGCAGGGTCTTTGGAGTTACAGGAAGGTTCAGTACGTCAGATACACTCCACTTACTAACTGTGTGATTTGGGGCAAGTTTCCTAACCTTTAGTTTCCTTAACTAAAATAGTTAAGTAAAGTAGGTATAATAATTTCTATTTCATTTTATGTGTATAACAGATCCTAGTAGACAATACATGCAAAACACCCAACACAGTGCCTGACACATATTATTAGGAAACCTCGTTCCCAGAGAGGAACAGTGACCTGCTTTGAGGTCGGATGGCTAAAAGAAGACCTGTTTTTGAAAAGAGGGTGAAATGTTTTTGGTGTGTTCTTTTTTCTGTTGAGGCTATGATAAATTCCTTTTTCAGATGTGGATAGTTGATCCAGCATTCGTGGCTAACATTCTTTTTTAAAAATAAAAATTCAGTGAGTCAGTATACAAGAATTGCAGTTTTTAAATAAGCATTTACGTCTACTTTGTGGTGAGTTGCTATGCTTGTAGACTACAAATTGTTATATAATAATAACTTGTACTTTATGGTCTACCAAATGCTTTTGCAAACTTACCTCATTTGAATTTTACAACCTTAGTTTTTTTGTGCTACTTTCTAAAGCTTTTTACCTTCTTGCTTCATGGAAGAATGCAAGTTACTAAAAAGGCATTTATCGTTTTGATGTTCTTCCCCCAAAACCATCTCACTTCTGATTAGGTTTTTGTTTCCAAGACCCTTCTTTCAGTTTAGATAATGTTTCGATGTATATGTGTGTGTACACTCACACATTTAGGATGGGGAGTAGATTTTTGTTTCTAGATGAAAATTTATTTCTAGGCAGTCATTTAGAGGTTTTTTGGTTTGTGTTCTTTTCATTTTTTAACACCCAATTTATTTGCACATTAAAGATTGAATTTGGACCTTTCCGATGTTGAAAGCATTACTTAATTTTCATCATATTCTTCATTTGCACACATTAAAATGGTGTTATACAATCCAGGATGCACCATGGGCACCCAATATTTCTCAACTTAGATTCCTCTTGTAGGTTAAATCATAATTAAGAGAACAGAGCAAGATGACAGAAACAAAAACTATTTTACATTGCTTTCAATATTTTATATTGTACAAGAGTGTTACCTTTTAAATTAAGAAAATCATTTTGGGCCGAGCCCTGTGGCTCACGCCTGTGATCCTAGCTC